GGAAGCTTTGTTGACAAAGAACTGCTTTCTTGTTCTTACACAACATAGCAACACAGTTTCCTAGGATGTTTAATACAAGGACACCTAGAGTTACGTTAAAAAAAAAAAAAAATACACTCTTGATATTTTTGGTGCTTTTTGCTTTCTTTTTTTTTTTTTCTGGTCTGAATAAGTCTTAATGCTCTCTACTTCCTCTTCTTCTGAGTAGTTTCTTTCACTTCTGTTTCTCAGAAGAAAGAAACACAGGATTAAATAAAAATATATCCGCGACTTTCAAGTTTACCTTTCATCTAACTGATGGCATATTCATAATACTATCTAAGCTGCTCTGAAGGTAAGAGGTAAGATGGGAGAACTGTACTGAGTTCAGCTACTTAGTGAACTGCATGTTGTAGTTCTAGCAATACAACAGCTGCCAGCAATAAACTTTCATTTTTGTTTTCTTGTTAATTCTCTTTGGGTTTTAGTCAATCAGTTCTTTGTATCTTTTACTTCTTTTATACCTAAATTATTACATTTTGTTAAAAAGGTTTCCTGAGGACGTGGGGCTTATGCAGTCATGCTGTTTCTATGTCCTTTTCTAACTGTATCTGCAATAACATTTAAGTATTTTGGAGAAGTTCAGGAAAATTTGACAAACAATACAGGTCTGAAAGGTATTGCATTTACAGGATCATGGGATAGTTCAGATGTGAAGTGACCTCAGGAGGTCTCTAGTCCAATGTCCTTCTCAAAGCAGGGCCCGCTATGGGGTCAGACTGGGTCATTCAGGGATTTATCCAAGTGGGTCTTGAAAGCCTCTGGAGGAGGAGATGGCATATCATCTGCAGCACTGCTGGGCTTTCCTCAAGGTGAGGAAATTTTTCCTTATACCCAGTGCAAACCTTTCTTATTTTATCTTTACCATGTTGTCTCTCATCCCCATTACACACTGCTATGAAGAGCCTGTCATCCCATAGGGATGGAGGAGCTGCTGTTAGGTTCCCCAAAGCTGTCTCTTATTGACAATAAACAAGTCCAGCTCCCTCAGCCTCTCCTCACAGAGCATGTGTAGACAAATTCAGTCCATACCTATCTACAACAGGTGGCATAGATAGTAGATTTGACCCACAGTTTTCCTACAGGTGTTAAGCTCATCACTAGTGGAGGTATTGCTTTATCTGTGTCAGTTGTAATAGGAATTACTCCATTATCCTCTCTGAATCATCCCAATGAGCTGTGTGAGCTGGTGAGTGTGTGTATGTGTAGTGGAGGAATGTTGTTAGCAGATGCATGTGTTTCTGGGTGAATAAGGTGAGCCGCTGGCTAATTTTTCAGAGCCTGTGGCTGACTGTGCTGTCCTAATGACCCCTCCCAGTTTTCATTAGACGCTGAGTGGTTTTACTTCTAAATTGCCTATCCTTAGGGGTTTGGATGTCCTTTTTGTGACTGGAAACCTCTGAGGATGTTTCATTTAAAACTGAAACACCTTAGACAGATGTCAACTTTCATGTATATTTTGTGTGTTTGCTGATTGAAAACAAACATGGGGATTTTGTGATTTTAGCATCATTGTAGGCATTCAGGATTGCAACTGTGTAGCTTTTTAATGACCTTTAATTATAAAAGACAAAATAAGCCATTGGTGTTGCTGCTACCATGGCAGAAATGTTTCCGCAGGGGGGGTTGGACCAGATGAGCTCTAGAGTCCCTTCCCACCGCAACCATTCTGTGATTTGATGACTCAAATCACATCCAGGTTGCCTGATGTGGAAAGATTTGAATATTTGTATATGCTCATGAACATTCAGATTGTCTAATGGGAGTCTTTCATCCATGAGGCTACCATCGCTTTTTCATTTTACGTTTTCTTTTCCTTTTATTTATTTCTCACTTGCCTTCAGGGGATTTATAAGTGACTGCAATGAAAACGAGCAAACAAAACAGAAGCATGAGGGCTGCAGTGAGTTAAATGTTGGCGTGAAACCAGTTAAAAGTCCTACAGGATGTCTCACACTTCACATACTAGTAATGTCTGAAAAGCATAGTTGAAATAGTTATCCATTAACTTGAGCAAAGACATCACTTCTGTTCCAAAACTTGCACATAGTCTCAAACAAAATGAAAATACAAGACTGGCTGCAAAATGAACCTGCCTCTGGCCAAGGTCAGGCCCATCACTGACTGTTGTAGCGCCTCTGGGATAGCATGTTTAAGAAGGGTAAGAAAGTTACTACACAGGAGCAATTGCAGCCAGAGAGAGGAGTGGGAGTATGTATCAGAAACAGCCCTGCAGACACCAAGGGCAGTGCAGAAGGAGGGCAGGAGGTGCTCCAGGTGACAGAGCAGAGATTCCCATGCAGCCCATGGTGAGGCAGGCTGTCCCTGGCAGCCCATGGATGTCCATGATGAAGCCGATCTCCACCTGCAGCCTGTGGAGGATCCCACACCAGAGCAGTCTGTGAAGAACTGAAGCCATGGGGAGGACACACGTTGGATCAGCTTGTGGAGGACTGTCTCACATGGGGGGGGACAGCACACTGGAGCAAGGGAAGAGTGTGAGGAAGGACCAGCTGAGACAATGTGTGATGACTGACTACAACCCCCATTCCCCTGTGCTGCCGGGGGGGAGGAGGTGGAGAATTTGGGAGTAAAGTTGAGCCTGGGAAGAAGAGGTTGAGTGCTTTGCCCATAACGGTAGTTGCTGAGTGATCTCTCCTTGTCCTTATCTCAACCCATGAGCTTTTTTTGTTGTATTTCCTCTCTCCTGTCCACCTGAGAAGATGAGTGATAGAGTGGCTTTTGTGGGCACCTGGTGTCCAGCCAGAGTCAACCCACTGCAGTAAGATGCAGGGTGGGCTTATATAATTCCTGTATAGCATAAAGGGATGTGTAGATTTCATTTTTTGGTAGGTTGGACAGGCTGACGAGGAGAACATTATTTTTTGATGAGTTTTGACATGACTCTGAGCATAGCAAAAAGATGCTTTTACTGTGGAAAGCCTAATTTTAATGGAAAAGCTAGATTCATGACAGAAGTTTTGTAATCGGTGTCAAGTACTTTGAAGTGAACTGTAATTAACATCATTTTATTGGCACTGTAAGAGTAAAGCAGGTAGTTTTGAAAAAGTAAAGAGCTACTCACTCAGCTATTCCATTTTACGCTAAGTCAGTGAAGGAAGAAGAAGCTATTCCATTTACAAAAGTCATAAACAGGCTGACAGTATTTGCAGAATTTTACAGCTACAAGTCTGGTGAGTGCTGAAGATCAATTTTGAACATCGTGAAACCCTTTTTTACTGTCAGGGTGACTGTGCACTGGCAGAGGTTGCCCAGGGTGCTTGTGGAGTTTCCCACCTTGAAGATGCTAGAAAGCTGTCTGGTTGTGGTCCCAGGCCACTGTCACTATAGGTAGCTCTGCTCCAGCAGGGGAGGTTGGACCAGATGATGTCTGATTAGGTTAACAGTATGACTCGATGATCTTAAAGGTCTGTTCCAAATTAAATGATTCTATGATTCTAGTTTAATGTATGTGTAGAAATAAATACACTTTCCCTACTTGCCTTCGAAAATTATCTCACTAGTGTTCCCCATGCACCTGAGAAATGCCTTCATTTCATTCCAGTACTTACTGCACTTGCAGCACTTTTCCCCTCTTTTGTTCACATTTGTCTCTCCCCTCGCCACCCCCATAGCACAAACCTTTGTATAATTGTGTTGGAGCTCTTTTAAAAGGAATTCCTCTCTATTAAACATGGCCGAAGTGAGTATTTTACTGCAGAATATTGCTTTTGTAAGCTTGTGCCTAATTGATGTTTGCTGCTTTTCACATTGCTCTCTTCCACTGAATGTGGGTGTATCTTGAGTTCTTCTAGGTGTGTTCTCTGAGAAGTTTTAAAAGAGCTTGTGGCATTCTAGAGGTGTCTGCTGGTGAAAGCTTTAAATAATTTGATTTAGAATAGGTAGCATAAACATCTATGAAAAAATTATGATACGGGCTGTTCTCTTATGTACATTTTTCCTTATGCTTGTTGTAAGTCAAAGAAACCTGTATATGTGATACATATTGCTGCTGCTGTGTTGTTCTTCTCCATGTTTGCTTTCTGGGCCTTAAAAATATGTTTCTAAGACCCACAGCTGTCCCTTTTCAGCTATAATTCAGTTATAATTAACTAATTATAAACATTGCTATTTTCTTTGCTGTCAGTAATGATACTGCTGCAAATGCAGCTTTTTCGGTAGTACCTGTACTGTCAGGAAGCTCTTATGTACTGTATTAGATATTCTTTGCAAGGTAATAAATTGAATTGTTTGTTACACTCCATTGCTTATAGAGCTTTAGGGAATAAACAACTCAAATTATTCAAGTTGACTATATTTTGAGGCTGTTTTTGTAAATTCCATTGAATGTCTTGCATACCATCAATACTATATATAGAATGACTACTTACTGCATTTCTTTAATGAAGAATTGTTTTATGCAAGAATTAACTTTATTTGTTATCTTATTTTGTACAACCTTTAAATAATTCAGAAGCATTTGAATGGAAACTCAGTAATGACAAGATGATTCTTAAGTTTTTTACTACCCTCACTTACTGTTAGCCATTGTAGTGGAATCCAGCTTAATTCTGGTAGGTCACAGTTACAAAAAGAGTATGAAGCTGTGATGATGTAATAGTCTTTAAAACACTTCAAAAGTCTTAGGTGAAGTCTTTAAAAAGTCTTAGACTTTAAAAGATGAATGGAATTGTAAGTCTCATTTTGTCCTGCTCCCACTGAGATCATTTGCCTGCAGTTTCAGCTGGAGAAGAATTAGTTGAGGAGCATGACCTGTGGACCGTCACCAGTTCTGAGAGACAGAGTTGACAGTCCAGGTTTACCAAAGACAACAGTGCATGTCACATGAGTGCAAACAGCACAGGTGTGCAGAGCACAGTCTATATTATAATGTGTATGTTTAAAGTTTCTGGCAATGACAAATACCTTGTCACTGATTTCTCTCTTTTAATATTTTTCAGAAATTGAAAAATTTCAGGGTTCTGAAGGCAAGAAGGAAGATGAAGAAAAGAAATATCTCGATGTTATCAGCAACAAAAACATAAAGCTGTCAGAAAGAGTTCTGATCCCTGTCAAACAATATCCTAAGGTACTGTAAATACAGTCTTAACACAAGTTTAATCTTTCTAATAGAACCATAAAAGTCGTAGGCTTAACCAGTCTGTTGACTCTTAGCATTCAGGCTTCATGATATTAAAAATAAACAAACTTGAAATGAAGCTGCTCTGTGAATTTACCTGTTATTACCTGTTACATGTTCTGATTTCTGTTTCAGGGCCTTTCAGAAAAGCCATTGAAGTGAATGATAATTTTTTTTTTTTATTTCAAGTAGGTTTTGTAGCTGGTCTTTAGGTTAGGCAAGCTGTTGAAATGTTTTCTCACAGTTGCTTTTTTCACGTCTACCATCATTTTAGGACATGAAAGTCCAGTTAACTGAAAAAGTATTCTAGAATAAAGAGAAAATGCTTCAAAAACTCTGAAAAGTCAACATCTTCCTTGTACAGGAGTTGAGGGATTTTCTCTGGTGAATTAAGTTTTAAAATAAAGTAGCAAGATTACTACAAGCTAAGACTTTTGACAGTGTATGTCCCTGTGTATAAAATTTAAATTTTATCTTTCCACCTTATAATTTCTTCATACTTTGTTCTTGTCACTGCTACATACTGTGATTAAAGAGAGCATTTTTTGTTATTGCAGAAGAGCTCCAAATTCAGCGGCTTTTTTTAAGTTTTAAGTTTTTATTTTACATGAAAGACAAAAAATGTTGGGTTTGGTTTGTGTTTCTTTTTTTTTTTTTTTTTAATGTACAGTGTTGTATTTTACCTAAACAGTTATTTGATTAGTATTCAAACTGAAATATAAACATCTCAATTTATCTTCAGAGTATTTTCTTCTTACTGATTTATTATCGCGATATTTGGTTCACCATTAGCCTTGATAATGGCCTCAGCTTTTTGCTTTATACTTTCATCAAGAGCAGTAACTTACAATGGGTGCAAAGCCTATCAAACAAAATGAAAGGTGTAAAAAACTGAGATTCAGTGATTCCATCTGACATTTACCTCCTGACTAGTGAATATAAAACTGAAGTAATGTAATCATCCATCTAGGTGAAGACCTAGAAATGCACACAGGGGTATGAGGAATTAACTTTCTTGCTGCATAGCCTGAGGTTCTGTGACTAGATTTACGGTATTTTGTGTAAATGCTGTAGGTGACTTGAAGCTCTTAATAAGAGTGTAATAGGGCTGTAACTTTATAACATCAGTGTGGTAATTATTCAGAATACTATTTCATGAAGATAGTAGAATGAAAGACAAACTATTTAAAAGACAAATGCAATAATATATACAATATAGTGCCTGAATACGATTAAATTAACCTTCATTTACTTTAATGAGCTTGTTATATTAATGAGTAATAAAAGATATAATGCATTTCTACAGATTTTGAGCAGTGAAGGGGAAAAAAAAAGTCAGTGCAGTAGAAATGCAGTACTCATTCAGTAACGCAAAATACACTCTTGGAAAGTTTCTGTAGCTGATTTGCTAGCAGTATTTTCTGTGCTTGGCATGGAATTATTTCCAGAACTGCAGGTTTCCTGCCACCATCTAGTAACCATCCTGCAAGGACTGCATTCGCCATTTGTATCAAACTGCCAATTGCTGTGGTCTAGTGTCTTTTCTTTTCTTGATGAATTATGTATATTAGGATAATCAAAATCAGTACACAGTGGTGCTTCATATTGTTTTATAAATAATGAAAAAGTAGAAATTGGGTTAAACAATCCCCCCCCTTAATTTTATATATTTAGCAGAATATGGTAATAAAAGCAGTAGATCAGACCTGTAGTTATAAACAAGTAAGAAAATTGCTGTATGATTTCACCTGAGAGGAATTTCTTTTTTAAAAATCTGTATTTTAAATTTTTAATTGATTGTTTGCTGTAAGCTTTTTTTGGCCGGTTTTGGGTAAGCAGGGTTCTGTAAATCTGAAGAAAGTGTCAAAGAGTATAAAATTATGGAAAAAAAAATTCTGACCAGCTAAATAAAAAAAAAATTTATGTGGTTTACAGACTCTCTGTTTAGGCATGAGACTAATCCTTTAAATATATTTTCTCTTATTTTAATTACACGTAGAAGCACAAATTGCTCCAAAGGAACCTGAGGCCTGTTTATTATGGCCTTGAGGGTAGATCCCTTCAATGATAACTGTAGAGTCAGAAGCTGAATTTTATGTTTTGAACAAGATTAACTGAACGCTAAAGGTTTCTCGTGTCTGAATAGCTCTTGAAGTTGCAGAGTAAGTATTATAAAATAGTCTCTACTCAAAAGCCTGTAGTCTGATTTCTGAAATTGCTGGTGCAGACAACAGGAAAATAAAATCAAAGTCTGTGATTAGCAACAGCTGTCTTATGTTACCAGCTCTGTTAAAGATAGACTTCTCCTCTTCTATAAAACAGAGATCTAAAAAGAGGGAAGGCTGTTAGTTGAGAGTTCAGTAATGATGTTTTCTGAGATTAATTATTTTAAATCTCGGCAGCCTAAGTAAAAACATCATCTCATTTAAAGACACTCCTCTAGCTGCAGGAGATCTTTTTAATGTCCTTAGAACTCCTTCTGAAACAGTGATGCTGTGTCTTGTGCTTTGTGATGCTTTCTCCTTTCCCATAGTGCCATTTAATTTTTATTTTTTTTTTTCTGCTTTCATCTATCTGTGAATTCCACCCAAGGTAAGCCAGCAGAAATACTCAGACTGTTTGTTACAGACTATTCTATTTTTTAGCTTTTGTACCTGTTCAGTTTGAAATTTGCATAAAAATACCCAGGGCTTGTTCATAAAGATTTTGCCATTTATCAGTTACATGTTGTATTTCAAGTATATCAAATGCAGGAAAAGAGTGGGTTGTGAAAGAAGAAAAATAAAGTCTGAAGTTATCTTGTTGAAAAACAGAACCCATAATTTAGAGGCTTGGTGGACAAATTTGTTGTTTGCATGTAATACCTAACTATCAGAGAGTCAGCTGCTGTATGGGCTTAGGGTCAAAACGCAAAAACAAGCGTCACTTGCACCTTCAGGTATTGTCATGATTTTATCTTTTTTCCCTAGGAAACCTTGAATTTTCAGTAAGCATTTTTTCCTCATATGAATTACAAAAAAGAGTTATTTTGGTTTGACCCATTACCTCCTTAGCTTGCAAACCCACTATTTGTTCAAGATGAAGGAATCCAAGTAATTTTCAATATATAGATTCAGTGATTTATTTCCAGATGTTCTTTCTGGAAATTAAATTCTTATTTTGTTAAATCTGAGTTTGGGTATTTCTTTTGATATGTCAACAGGTAAAGCAGTCTAAATCTAATGGAGTTGACATAACACAAATTTAGAGCCAAAGTGGTAAATTATTTAGTTTCATGCCAGTTTACATTCAAGATAAAGAATTTCCAATTTTGTCAAATTTCAGTTACATGGAAATTGCACATTCTGGGAAAAAAAAACAAACCAAACAACCAAAACAGCCAACTAGACAAAAAACCAACCATGAAACCAAACTGCAGTTAATTAAGGAAGAAATTTTTCCAAGTTAATCAGTTACTGAAGTTGGAGGTGATGACACCTGGAGATAATGAACTCTCTATTTTTCAGTGAGAGACAGAAATCAGTGCAATGCCTTCTGAGCAAAAGGTGATGATTAATGTTTTTCTAATTATATGATTATTGAATATAGATTTTTCTATAAATAAAAGAGGATGTGATCATATAAATATTAAATATAAATAATTATGCAAGTATTATGTAAATGAAATTAATTACAATTTGGTGCTATAGTGAATAATTAAGTTACAAAATTTTAAAACAAAATCTCAGTTTAAGTACAGGCTTATATTTCATTTTTTTCCCCTCTACCGGTTTGTCAGATAATGAAAACTATTAAATTATAAAATATTGGAAGCATGTGCTGCTAACTTCCAGGACCTTGTAGGGGTGAAAGAGATGAAGAGCAGGTTGATTCTTCTCTATGTCTTCCATGATGTAGAGTTGCAAACTGTGAAGCACTGTGTCTTCAGAGGATGCAGTATAATAAAGTCTCTTCCCTGCACAAAGGGTGAGCTGATAGGCAATAACAGTCTCATCCAGAAGTACAGTTTGGCTGCAGCTGAGCTCCCTAACTCCTGCTGGCTTCCTCCTGGATGTTTAAGTACCACATTTTTGGGGGAAAAAAAGAAAAAGGATAGAATCCAGCCCCTTACCTTTTGAAAGGCTGACACTGTTATAGAGAATGTGTTATTGGGGAAGAAACTTAATGTTGATGAATACTGTAAATGAAGTTAAATTCCAGGTTCTTGATATTCTTTGTTTTCCTGTCTCATGATGGTTCCTTGAATGATGAATGACTTGACTGAATTCATCTTTCTCATTCTTAGTCATTGTAAAACTGGTTATGTTGTGTATAACATGTCAGGTTGGAGGCACTGCACTTGAAATGAAATTTATTTGTTCAACTAAAATCTCATAAGGTTATTTTAATCTCTGTGATATATTAAAACAGAAATTATTGATGATTTGAACAACAAAGTACTATATTTTTTTGTATACATTACACCCCAGAGCGAATCTCTCCACTAAAATGTTCTTACAGGGCATTTGAAACAAATTTTGTATGAAATAAGTATTTGCAATAGAAGAACTGTTGGTTTTTTTTTTTTTTTACTTTTCCTCTTTCTAATAAACAGAGCTAAGTGACTGACTACATTACAGGGAATTTTACCTATCTTACCAGTATTTTTGCTTCCCATGCAAGACAACAAAAGCCTTTACACTTGAAAATATTCTAAATTTAGACTGATGCCAAACTAAGTCTAAATATTATGCCTGTTCTGTTTTTCAGCTGAATTTTTTGAAAAGAAGTCTGAATGATGGACTGATAGAAGGCACAAAATATTAATTTTGATAAAGTGTGCTGCACTTAAACTGATGCTGTGAATAGTAGGCTAAATAAAGAATGTTTTCTCACATATCTTGAATTACATCTACTGCTGTCAGGTCTTGATGAAGTAACTGAACATGCATCTTTGTGACAAAATACCG